ATCGGAAATGTGTTTAAAAATCATATCACCGTTATTGAAAAAAATTATATCGCGATACATATTGATATTGAATTATTGTCCAGCCCTAGTTCAGCCCTAACTCTATTGCATGTCTGCAAAATGTAGTAACTCGCACAAAACAGTTAATTTTTCTTATTTGTGTTGACTCTGTTCTGTATTTTTTCCCTTAACCCAGTAAAGTTCACATCTCTGAACAATTTCTTATTAATTCAAGCAAATTGCACATATTTTGGCCCATTTGTGCAAAAGAGCAAGTACAGCTTTCTACAATTTGCACACTTTAAGCAAGGAGTTTTTTCAGTTTTTCTCAAATACTTTAAATCATTTTTGGCCATATTTGTCATTTTTGTCATAACTGCCAAATTGCATGTCTTTAATATGCAGTTACTCAACCAAAAAAATTAAACTCATGCTTCAAAACCTGGTTATTATGTCAGTAAATTGGCCAGTTGGTCTAAATGTTCAAAATGTTTAGATGTTTGTTTCAGCATGGCAGTCAATTCTGGAAATGTTTGTTGTATAACAATATCTATTTTGTTCTTCTCTTTTGTTTGCACTGACCGCTTACTAATGATATGTTTAGTCTATAATGATATATTAAGTTGTCTGTCTGTTCAACTTTTTAGATACAGATTTCAACAGTAGGTAAAAGTTTACTGGGAAAAGCAATACTGTAGCACACACAAACAGTTGTAAATTTAGAAGACATCACAATCATAATTGTATATTTATGAAATATACACATATTTCGGACAGATTTTGATAATTTGGATTTGATGGCTCCCATGATGAAAACATGTTTAGAGATTTTGCACTCAACAGTTTTGATCAACAAGCCATGTGCATTTATGTAAATTGTAGACAAATGTACTTTTGTGCCAAAACACAAAAATGCATTAGAAATATAAAGCTAGCTGGAAAAAGAAACAAATTGTTCCGAAATCTGAGCGTATTGTTTTGAGAAACAAAATTCTCATTTGAGCCAAAGCGAGGAAAACTGAGAAAAACTGTAGATGTTTTAGGTGAGTTACTATGCATACATGCAATGGAAATGTGATGTCCCATAAAACAGTTGTGACAGTTGCACTTACAGTTTAGAGAAGGTTAGGACTGTTTTCAAAAATGATTGAGGAAAACAATAAAACCACATTAGAGTTAAATAGTTGTACATTATGCTATATTGCAGATGTCAAACATGCATTTCTGCAGTCGTGCTCTGCAGTCGTGTGTGTAGTTTTCGGCTGGCGGGTTTCACGTGGAGAAGAGTTCACACTTCAGAGTGACACCAAACGCTCGGCAGCGTCATGCTTTTCAAAGGGCGTCTGTGGGATGTTGTTGCCATAGTAACAGCAGCAGCCCTGAGGGCTCACCTGCGGCTGTCATGTGTGTGTTCCCTCATGACCTGCACAGGTAGAGATGCCCCAAACCCAGACACACACACACACACACGACATGGAGACGGTGAAGAGCTCTTCTCAGCCCGCTTACAGCCGCTGGTCATACAGGTACACACACACACAAGAGACAGAACAGAGGTTTAGTGTTGAAAGTTTGTGTTTCATATAAAGGAGTGTGTGGTTTGGATTCACATGAGGACAGTCGCTATGTTGTGTGTTTGCACTCATTAAGTTCACAGTGTTTCAGTTATTGAATGACGCTGCTGTTGTTTCCAAATATGGATATCGATTCCTCTATAATGATAGATAGCATGTTAAGTGAATGAGTATAAAGTAATGGATGGACGGATGCAGGGTTAATTGACATCATAAACATTGATGGGAAAACATGTTTTGTTGCCTGTGATTGATTCCTAAAAATATTACATTTGGTACAAATGGATAGATAGATAGATAGATAGATAGATAGATAGATAGATAGATAGATGGATTGATAGATATAGCTTCATTTCATCCATTTGATCTTTCTTTTTGTCTTTCTAATTTGTTTGAATTGCTTGCTGAAAATGTTTTTTTCACTTTTATTTTTGGTGTTAAATATTAGAGGAGATGACAGAGAGAGTGTCTTTTGTTAAATTTTGTGTTGGTTAAAAGTAAAATGGCAATATGCACGAGTAGGAGAAATACAATTGAACAGAATCAGGAATGTAAACTTGTATCAATTGTTAATGCCATTGTAAAGACTGTTGATTGATTTTAGTTTTTATAAAGCTGCGTCCTGTACTGAAATGTTTGTGAATGTTTGGTGTTTTGGAAGGGTGCTGTGCTCTGTTATAGATAATGAACTTCGTTTTACTCAATTCATGTAAGAAATAGGTGTGTTTTTAATGTTCTTTCTTTCTTTCTTTCTTACTGGAGAGCATCTGTTAGTGTGTGTGTGTTTGTGGGGTGTTACCTCAAGTTGTCATGTTGATGCTGGTAGCCACGGCGACACAGGTGTCACATCAGACAGCTTGTGTGTCACCTTACCTCCGTGAGCATGAAACATTCATTCAGGTGTGTGTTCATTCGTCATCTTCATCACTGACTCTTCCTCTCTTGTGTTTCTCTCCCCTCTCTCTCTCTGTCTGTCATCGCCATGGAAACAAAGAGCCTCCAGTTCTTCCAGCTTCGCATCCGCCGCCATGACCAGGTACAACAAACTCACTATTGTATGTTGTGATGCTTTAAACAAAAAAAACAAGCTTCATATTTATTCGTTTAACGCAGATCTGAAATGTTTCTCCGGTCTCTGCGGTGTGAGTGTTTATGTGGGTGTGTGTATTTTTAGACACACAGTCATGTATAGATGTGTGTACGTGAGAAATTGATTTTCTTTCATTTGGATGTCTATCGGTTGCCTAGCAACGCAATGACTGACAGATGACACTGCAGCATTCATTCTCTAGTCTCAACATGGGATGGTATAAGTGTGTGTTAATGGGTTTTTAATGTTGTTTGTTGTGTTTCAGTACGCTGGAGGACGACAGTCTGAACCTCAGACAGCAGAAACTGGAGAAACAGGTGAGACTCATTTACACAAGACATAACACAATCATCAAAACACAAAAACACATCAAAACAATAACATGCCAAAACACAGTAAAACACAATAGTACACAATAATATGTCAAAGTTCAATAATACATGATAATATGAATCAAAATACAATAAAACACAAAAACACACATTTCAGAACACAATAATATGCATTAAAATACAATAAAACACACACACAAAAAAATCACATTTCAGAACACAATACACAGGAATATGCATTAAAACAATAAAACACAATAAACAGTAACACATGTGAAAACACAGTAATACACAAAACATGCATTTAAACATTAAAACACAATAACACAATAATACGCAATAATGTGTCAAAACACAAAAAATACAAAACACAATAACTAATTTCAAAACAAAACAATACACAGTAATATGAATTAAAACACAATATAACACAATAATGCACAATAACACGTCAAAATACAATAATACACTATATGGGCCAGTTTTACTAACAGCTTGCGCCAGCGCAAACCATCTTTTGGCGTTAAAATAGCACTGTCAGATTTTACTAAAGACGCGCAGTGAAGAATTAGCGCTGAAAAGGCATGGACACAGTTATTTTTGCGCCTGACCTTATTGAATATGCATTTGTAGGAGTTTCCCTTTCAGACCCAAAATTTATGGGAGGATAGTATTAAAGGGGTGATATGATGCTGCTAAAAAGAACATTATTTTGTGTATTTGGTGTAATGCAATGTGTTTATGCGGTTTAAGGTTCAAAAAACACATTATTTTCCACATACTGTACATTATTGTTTCTCCTCTATGCCCCGCCTTTCTGAAACGCTTCGATTTTTACAAAGCTCATCGGTCTGAAAAGCAAGGTGTGCTCTGATTGGCCAGCTGTGAAAACAGAATAATACACAATAACATGCATCGAAATAAAAACACATCAAAACACAATAAAACAATAATACACAATAATGTGTCAAACCCAAGCGGCAACCTCCCGCTCTCTCTCGTGAAGCCAACAAGGAAGTGACTTAAACTGTAATTCGTCAACTGGCCGCTAGAGGCTGGCTGCAAAAGGGAGTCAATCCCATAGACTCCCCATGTTAAAATGCCCAACTTTACAGCAGAAAAAAACATGTTTACAGCCTGGTTCAAAAAATTATTTTGGTCTATATAGCTAATTTTGCCCTTCATGACAACTGTGAGGGGGGTGAATTTTTTTACAACTCATCCGTTTAAATTATATTAAGCCTTAAAGTTCTGCATAATTAAGGGCGTGGCCACTTGAGTGACAGGTGGATTGCCACTGCTGTCACCACCGTCGAGCTAGGTGGGCGTGGCTTCAGCAACCAGCTCCCGCCTTTTTGCCCATTTTCGATTATCCGGGAGTGACGCGCGGTGCCGCGCTGCCAAGATGGCAACGGCCGCCTCCGCCCACTTTGAGCTTCAAAAACGCTCTTCGGAAACCTACGGGTGACGTCACGGACACTACGTCCATGTTTTTATACAGTCTATGGTCAAACCACAAAAAATACAATGCACAATAATACATTTCAAAACACAAAAATACACAATAATATGCATGAAAACACAATAAAACATAACATGCGTCAAAACACAATAAAGCACAAAACCCACATCAAACCACAATAATACACAATAATATGCATTAAAACAATAAAACACAATACACAGTAACACACATGAAAACAGAATAATACACAATAACATGCATCGAAACACAAAAACACATCAAAACACAATAAAACAATAATACACAATAATGTGTCAAACCATAAAAAACACATTAAAAGCACAAAACCCACATCAAACCACAATAATACACAATAACGCGTATCAAAACATAATAATACTTGGTAGCACATCAAAGCATTATAAAACACATCAAAAAGCAAAAAACACAATAAAACAAAATAATACACAATAAC